GTAGTCGGAAAGCTACCCGATAGGACACCGTAGACCCTGACGCGGCCTGCAGTGTTCGAGTGTAGAGCACGTAGGATGTTCACATATTTCATAGGAACACCCGTGGGAGCCAAAGCGGTCGGAGAGCTAATCCGATTGACAGATTAAAACTCAGCTCTGTCATGCACAGAGGGAGCCTTGTGAAGCAACCGTGATGTAGATGGTGTTATTCTGTTCCTGTAAAAATGGTGGGTGTAACGCAGTAGGAGTATGGATTGTTTTAAATCAAAGAACATCTGTGTCTGCTGCAGCAGGGATGAGAACGGAGCGTGTTCAACATCGGCAAGGTTGCATTCGTGCTGGTTCCGGTTCATCGTCCCGGCTGTTGTTTGTGGTTGTCAATCTCGGCCTGGATTCTTTGACTTGATGACCCGATATATACAACGCTTTCTGGCTGAGTAATGCGATACAGTGTCTGCCGTTATAGTGAACAAATCGATAGTTTCGCATGAGCTAGAGACCTCACACGATCCAGGTTCAGGTCGCACCCACTTCCTGTCCCACATATTGATAACGGAGCCATGATTACTTGCGAGTAAAAGTGTTAACAGCAAATCAATTTCGTCTCGGTTTGGATTACTTGATCTAAAATAAACGTGTCAAAACTGCCGTCGTAAAGTCTACAAACAAGCTCGTGCTACTGAGTTGGGGGATGCAACCGATCAGTGGGAATCTGGCGATGTCAGTTGGCGAAGTCTGTGTTGGAGATTGGCGAACACCGCCTCTTCTCACAGTGGTGCAGAGCACTTCTCGAAGATGTATCTCAACTATCACAAGTGAGAACCAAAGTGGAATATACGCTCGGTAGAAAAACGTTCAAAGGGTAAGTAGTTTTCCCCTCCCCAATACATACACACACTGTATGCCTTGAACCTTGGCATACGGATACACTTACTCCCGATTGGGTTTTCTTTGTTGTATCCGACTGTCCCTTGCTTTTACCGGCTGGGTTGAGTACATCGCGGTTCTGTTTGGTATGCGCAGTCTCAACCACGTACTTTGCACCTCTGGTCTGGTCCGACGGTTCTCCATTTCGATTGATTGTCCCCACGACCGCACGGCTCTCCTCATCGACTATCCCGAGCTTTTGTAAGGAGGCGAGCGCGGTACGCAAATCTTCGGCATATTCCAGGGCACGATCCCGTTCCAAGCGGTTGAGTGCTTTTTCCCTCATAGCCGCATTGTATTTCTTTTGTAGTTGTTTCAGCAATGGCTCATATTCCTCATAATGCTTTTTCATTCTAAACAAGAGACGATTGGAAAATACTGCATGAAAATGGTGATAAAACAGGTAGCTGATAGCTGGCCACGGAAACACTGTTACGACTCTGGAGTTAACGTTTAGCATCGAATTCAGCCATGCACCGAGAAGTATTGGCTGAAGTGAGAGAGAAAGGGTCTGCGCACCACTTAAACATCAAGACGTCGTCATTTTCCTGAATTCTTAGCGGACTGTAAGTATACTGAGAAAGGAAGGTGGAGTAACAAATCTTCGATCCCAAACATAAAACTCGGTAGACATAGATTTTGAGAGGACGCCGTCATTTCGTGCATTTTTATAAATAAAAAATCATGCGATATTGGTACACAAACAAATGGGGATTGCAAATAACAAAACGCATGTTACCATGGTAGGCTTAGGGTCACTGTCAGCTGTTTTTGAATACCCAGCAATGGTCGTTCGTGATCGATAACGATAGTTGCCAATAGCCTACTGATTTAGGGCCGCTGATCGCGTATTAGAACTGTGAACGACTCACCAGGATTGGCTCGGTGACCAGTAGTCAGCAAGTGTTTAGTGACTGCTGAGGCAGCACCGTTTCCCGAGTCAATTAATTCCGTCATCATAAATCCCATCCGGCTGCGTATCCACTCTGAGAGATGTCCATTGTTTCTGACAACTAGACTGCAGTCAGCGTGCCCAACGTAGCTGTCTCCACAGCTACAGGTAAATTTGGACAGACAGTGGGACATGCAGTGCTTCGTCATCGGTGTCTTGATTGAACACATTAGCATAGATCTACTCGAGATAAGAAGCAGCGGTTCCGCCTTGCTGTACGCCATCTCCAGTGAGGCGCTTATGCGCTTCTAAACGACCTTCATCACATTGTCACCTTTAAAAGGCAGCTCAATGAAAATGGGCTTCTGTGTTACTGTCAGTGTACGATCTTGCTTGTTTGTTTCACAATGGTGCTCCTTGATATTTTGAAACTATAATCGGGGGGTAATAATTGCTCAAGGTAATAACTCACATGATCTCCTTTGAATTCAATGAAAAAGTCAAACTTCATTCGGAATGGGTCTTTGTCTACGAGTACCGAAGCGTTCTCGAACGATAGGGTAGATGTTTAGCAATCCTAAAGAGACGGCGATCGGCCTACGGATAACCACCATATAACAAAACTTTCCGCGACCAGCGCGTCAACTTGAGATGGCGGTTATAGAGTTAACAGTGAAAATGTAAGGGTTGAATTGTGCAAGTTGTAGGGCAGTTAGTAGCGATTATCCGAAGGAAAGTTTAGGTTGACGAATAGTGCCCACCAAACAATGGGTTTAACAGTTTGAGTCACTGCTGATGGGCGATGAGTGCAGTCAAAACGTTATTGTCAGTTAAAGGTGTGGCAGATAACACTGGTAGTGCCAAGACTAAGCAGTAGCCTTTAGCTACAGTGATCTTACTTAGTAATACGGGTCATGGATGAGGGAAGAATAGTTGCATTCCAGTCGGAACGAGGTTGTCTATACCACAAATTTATCTTGCTACAGGTGTTAGCACAGAATTATACATACTACAGACGGGCTAAAGCTGTGGTCTTCAGTTCCAGCGACACCTATTCATTCGATCGATTCATTCTGTTCAACATTACTTTCTGGGAAGAATGACCCATGAAGAAAGGGGAACTTTCACGTGTCCAGTGATCAAGGACCACAGGTGGGGTCAAAGTTTACAGTGAGCTGTCGGACGTCATTCCGGTATCAAGTGACAGTCCTCGAGGCAGTTCGGCCCCTCAACTATATCCAATTTTATAGTGGACTGCCTGCATGTTGATGGGCTAAGCTGACAATATCGCCCTTCGATTCAACAATCTAGATGTGACACAATCAACCGCGGATATATTCTTTGGAATTGGTTCGCTTGTTGTTGTCTTTAAAGTGAAAATCCTTTGCGCGACCATCAGAAATTGTTTGCCCTGTATACCGGTCAACAATGAAGAACTGTTATCAGCTCCTCTATATCTGTTGCACGTGCGGCTGTTGAAAATTACTACTGCTACCTTAAAGTTGCGATGTATGTAGCGCCAGAAGGGATTAACATAAACCTTCGAGTTGGAACACACGGGACGATAGTGGGAATCGCTTCCTTCGGTTCCAGGATCTGAAGCGCCTTCCAGGCCCCGATCACCTTTGTTTGCATGGCATTGTTGGTGTAGGGTGGTCGCAACGTGTCCGTAACACTGTTGTAAGTAGGCGTGTGTTAGACACTGAGGATCTAGCCAGTTCCTTAGATCAGAGGTCAAAAAACTACGGCCCGCGGCGTTAGTTCATCCAGCCCGCCAACGGTACCCGAATTCGAGCACACGAAAAATCGACTAGCCCAGCCTAGTGCGGTGGTTACGTCATTCACACGGATACACTTCGATCGTTTCGTTGCATGATCCCCCTCTTTTCGAACAGGTTCAAGCAACATTACCGCCACAGCCCAGCTTTGTTTGGCCCTTTTCTGGTTAGGTTCCAGTTTCGACAATTCGGTCGACAGCGTGTTACCTACTCACAAGGACCGGTAACACCAGCAAGATGTTTTTCCTGATTTTTCAAGAACAGTTATTCGTGAATTAATAAAGCTATTTTTAGGGAGATTTTCAAATAATGACAGAATTGAGACTAAAAGTCTTTTGTTCCAGAACCCGTTTGATTGCAACCTTGATGTTCCGTTTAAACTACAATTGGAACAAATTGATTTGCAGGCAAATGCATTGTTGAAATAGAGGCACAGGGAAGGAAAACTTCTTACCGCCGCTTGCATAATGTTGCATTTTCGGAACTGAAGAAGTTTGCCGGTGGTATGGTATCAGTGTGTGGAACAACGTATGTGTGTAAGCAAACATTCTCAAAAAGAAGTATCGGAGGTCAACTCAGCGAACAACACTGACTGATGAACATTTTTAAGTAGTTCTCCGGATGGGGTGCAGCCTCTCTAAAGCAAACATTGATGATATTTTGAGAGCCAAACTACAGTTTCGCAAATCCGATTAATTCTTTTACTGTACACTTTCTACCATCCGGATATGTGCATAGAAAGACTGGGGTAACTGTTTTTGCTCACATCGCCTCTGTTGACAAGCTTTCATTTGATAAATATGTTCATTGTTTTTGCTTTGTGTACATTGCACCAGATGTAACATGGAATAATGAACTTAGTTTATTCGTTTTTCGCCCAGAGCATTCGTTTTGTCTTGTGAGTATTGCACAGAAATCTAATCCGGCCGTGATCGCCTTAGTGTTACTTATCCGGCCCACCGTGAAAAAAGTTCCGTGACCCGTGCCGTAGACCCACATTGAGTAGCTGTTATAGGTCCATGCGCACTTTGGCTGGATGACGTACACAGACGTACGCAAGCAAGCACGCACTCGCCTCGATCGCTTTTGCGGATGGAAATGCCAAGACAATTGTTGGATGTGCTGCGTCCTGCTCAGACGTGTCCTTACTATGCTTGGGTTATACGCCCAACACGGCGTATGCTAATAATGCGCGCTGGCTTTGGCACGAAGGCCGTCTTGGAGGTGGGAATGAAGCCAGTGACGGTTAAACCATGTGATATTGTTCCGTATGGAATCGGGGACCCCCCTTAAGGGACTTACCTTTAAGGGACTTGACTGCGGCTGATACAAGTGGGGTGTTGGTTGTCGTCTCCTGGTCGGATGGCTTGCTTAAAGTTTGTCTAGCGCCAAGTTATCTATGGAGCATGGTTTATGATGCGGGACAGGGAAAGCCGCGAGGAAGCTGTCTCGCAGAGGCAACCTGGTATTTGCGCGATAGAAAGCTTTTCAAACATATATCATCTAAGGGCGAATCTGCAGCTGATAGGCTATCCCGACGCCTGAAAGATGCTGTTGAGAAAATTTATTTTGCGGCCCGCCTGAGAATTATTTATCACAACAAGCCGTTGCTTACAAAACCCCTGAAAGATAGAGTACCCTCGTTGACATGTTCAATGATCGTTTATCATTAATGGTGCTCCTGTGGTGCGTGATACGTGGGTCGCACTACCAAACACCTATTCCAGAGGATACGTGAGCACATCGCGGCATGGTTTTACAAAGACGGAATGAGGTCCTCAGATAACTCAATCAGGTCGCACCTACTTGAATGCGGCCATACAACTTCCGAGAATGACTTAAAAGTCACCTACGCATTACCTGAACACTTCTCCCAATGATTCCGCAAACAGTCAACTGACACTGTTACTTGGTTCTTTTGCTGTTACGTTACCTACTTAATTACTTTGGACTACTGAGCTTTGTGTATGCATGTTTATTTAGTGCACATGGCTTACCATTTACATCCGTGTCACAAGTTTTCGATTTCGATCGTTCAAACAGCCCAGAAATTAATCCCAACCCGAGTTGACGCTTTCTTCACGAACAGTGCTATGTAAACATTTGGGTCTGATGAGAGTTTACCAAAAATAATTCTTTACCCGAACTTATTTTTGATATTAATTCATATTAATGAAATGGGAATGTTTGCTTTGCTGAAGACGGTGATTCACAGAACATTATTTCCCTGCAAGAAATAGACACTCCATCAATAAACGTTCGTTTGTGACAGGTGTTGTGTTAAGATTTTCTACTCTACCTCAGGTCACGACGGTTAGAGGGGAGCAAAATATTAGTCCAAACTAATGACGTATTGTTGTTGGTGTTAAGGATGGCTCCTGGCGGCACAGGATATAGCTGGCAATCCGCGCCAGCTGCATCCTTGCTGTCCTCTGTTAGCCGGGGCACCTGTTTTTAATTTGCTTAGGGTTGGATTAGTTGTAGGATACGTTGCTGCGGAAGTGGGCCAGTCAATGGCTAGATGGAAACTGCCTCGTTAAATTCCTTTCAACTGCCAAAGATGGCTTCTATTTTAATTTGCTTTGATGTAGGCAGCGCGATGCCAAATCATTCCTCAGGACAGTTGGGTACTGTTTAATCCTCCTACTAAATGAGAGAAATTAATACTTTCGACTGGAAACGT